TTTGTACAGTGTGTTTTAATCATATTCACCCTTCTCACAACTCTCGAAAATCCACCCACCTTTCCTGCTCACCCAACTTAGTGTCCTTTATTTTAAACCCATCAAAACTAGTCTGGGCTGCTCACATATTCTGGGTGTGTGTTCTTCCACGCAACACTGTCAACATTACCAAGGGCGACACTCATAAAGAAAGCTGTCTCTCCCTTTCCTAAAAGCCAGTAGCTCCACAGATGGGGTAGAATTTTGTGCCTCACTTCCAGTTCCTTGCTGAGATTCTCTGAGTTGGGTTTGCATAGGTTTTGTACAGACTGTTGCAACCACTGTCAGTTCATATTTATAGCTGCCCTGTTGTGTCTAAAAGACACTGACTCCTTGTAGTCATCTACCACATCTGGCTCTTATACTCTTTCCTCCACATTCTTCCACAAAGATCCCCACGCCTTGGTGAAGAGGAGATATAGTGGATGTCCCTTTTAAGGCTGAACATTCTACAGCCTCTTATTCCTTGTATCTTTTGTGGGTCTCTGTTTTAATCACCATCTATTGCAAATAGAAGCTTCTCAGATAAGGGTTGAGAGATGCATTAGTCTATGAGTATAATATTATGTGGAATCAGTTTAGTACTATGTTCATTTATCAGCATAATAGTAATAACCTCTTCCCTGGGGCCTGTAATTTGTCTAACTGTAGGTTCTTGGCCTGATGATGGTGCCAGGTATGGGGTTTCATCTTATGATGCAATCAGATAGTGGTTGGTTATTCCCCTGATGTTCATGCCACTATTATACTAGTTAGTGTGTCTTTCTAGACCAGTTATTATTATAACTCATGGGGTTCAACAGGTTATAATCAAAGGCAATCTTAACCTCTGACTGTTAAGGGCCAAAAAGGCACGCATCCACATTATAAAATACTAATACATTTTAATATATTATTTTCAGAAGACACTTAGTGTTGCTTGAGTTTTCCTGCCTGGCCCACAGTCAGGACAAATCTCTCTCACCCGCCAGTCCCACAGCCTCTCAGACCCGACCAAGTAAACACAGAGACTTATATTGGTTACAAACTGTATGGCCATGGCAGGCTTCTTGCTAATTGTTTTTATAGCTTAAATTAATCCATTTCCATTAATCTATACCTTGCCACATGGCTCGTGGCTTACCGGCATCTTCACATGTGGCTTGTCATCATGGCGGCTGGCAGTGTCTCTCTGACTCAGCCTTCCACTTCCCAGCTCTATTCTTCTCCTTGTTTGCACCTTTTGGGGTCTAATTTTTTGTAGCTCTATTTTATATCCTAAATAATTAATAGAATCTCCTCTTTGTATCTTTTCAGGAGCAATTTGTAATCCCCAGCAAGGCAAAATTTTCTTTACTTCTTCAAACATTCTTTCTAAAGTATCTGCATTTGAGTCAGCTAGTAAAATATCATCCATATAATGATAAATTATAGATTTATGAAATTTTTTACGTATCACTTCCAATGGCTGTTGTACAAAATATTGGCACAGAGTTGGGCTATTCAACATTCCTTGTGGGAGAACTCTCCATTGAAATCTTTTAACTGGTTGAGAATTATTGTAAGTAGGCACTGTGAAAGCAAATCTTTCTCTGTCTTTTTCTTGTAAGGGTATTGAAAAGAAACAGTCTTTTAAATCAATAACTATGAGAGGCCATCCTTTTGGTAACAGAGTAGGCAAAGGAATTCCAGATTGTAGAGAGCCCATTGGCTGAATTACTGATTGGTCAGTGGCCAAATCAGTGATTTATTTATTGACCAATCAGCAACACATTTGACATACAGACCATCCCACAGCAACTTAGAGTTGATCTATTCCAAGCCCATACCTTCAAATATTAATGAAGTCCAACGTAATGATTTCCAAAAGTCAAAGCTAACTTGGGATACATACCAGAAGTCTCAGGGTACATTCTTCTTCTTACATTATGATTTTTTGTATGTTTAGATACTACCTCTCCTTTTGCTAATGATTTATATATAGATATATGTTTATAAAATATTTAGACATGGAAAAATAATACCCATGCCATAGCATTCACACTTTTAAAATATGAAAGTCAGTGGGTTCTAGTATATTCATAAAACTTTTAAATCATTGCCATTTTAATTTTAATACATATCCAAGATTCACAAAGAAACCTCATACTCATTAGTAAGTCACTCTCTCTTGTCCCTCACCTTAAACTTCCTCCTCTTTTTCGACTTTGTGAAACTACTAATCAACTTTGCACCTCTATGGACTTTCTAGAACATATTCTGGCTGTTTTAAATACGTGGATTTATATAAATTCATATAATACATGACCTTTTATGTTGGGTTTCTTTCACTTAGCATAATGTTTTCAGAGCTCATCTGTGCTTTAGTTTTATCATTTTGTTTGACTTACCTAAACTCTCTTTCTCTAGTATCCTTGCTAAAATATCTGTCTCTGGGAACAAAGTTAAATTATAAACATCCTGGAAGCTAAAGGTTAAAAAAAAAGCATAAATACATTCTTCAGCTTTAATTAATTATAAAGGAAGCAAAAAAATTATTGCATGCACAGATACAGTGTGTTTTAAGGAATTATATATAAATATAGTTTTCAACTTCACTATGTGATTCTTCTTTTAATCAGTTAAAGTATTTCTCTTGTTTTCTTTTTTTTATGATTTCTAATTCCCTTTGGGATGGACATTCTGAGCAGTGTTAAAAAGAGTGAGAGAATTACTTTGCAATATACAAGATGTAGGCCCTGATGGCTCTTTTCTTTCCATGTACAAAGATGGTTAGGAGAGTGTCGTCTTATCTGGACCAATAGAAATTGAACCTTTGCTTTGTGCTTGCTAAGCATATGACCTATAACCTTTGACAATATGCCAATGTGGCCTCCACCATTAATTCTCATTCTTCCATTCTTGGCTAGAATCCTTACTTCCATCTAATTTATTTTGCAATTTATTTATTTTGCAATTTTGTTTCTGAAAAACTCAGTAACTTTGCCAATATCAATTTTAAGTGAGTTATAAAACAATGCAAATCCTCTCCTAAATGGGAATGGAACAGTTGTAGGAAGCTATACCTAGGAAGAAATATGGTCACTTGCTGATGCCTACCTGTGGGTTTGGTCACGTGTATGGATATGTATCTCATATTAAATATTTGTATATGTGTTCATATAAATACATCTACACATATTCTTTCTGGGAGCCCTCAGGTACAAAGAGCTAAATTATATTATGTTCTACCTCAACTTACATAATCAGTTCACAGAAGGTCCTGTTTCTGTTTTGTCTGTTTTCTTCCTTTGTGTCTTCGTTATGTGTTTGACATATCCTTAAAAAAATGTGTCTTTGTTCTTTATTGTGTATTAATAAATGGTTATATAAATGGTGTCATACCACTTATCTTATTATGTTACTTTCTTTTTTTAACTTACCTCACTGAAGCTTTAAAGCGTATTTGTGTTTCTGAACTTATGCTGAATATTTTGCTCCAAATGCTGCATAGTATTTCATATTATGCATTGAATACATTTCATATTTCAGTCCTCTAACTATGGACACCTGCCACTGATGGTGACATTGTGAAATCTTCACACTCTTTTCTAGAAACCTGAAGAATAATGGCTAGTGAACATGTCTAGGAGAGGAATTAGAGGGTGTCTACATGCACTATTTTGTCTATCAGCCTCCCTTGTGTATCCCAGAATCCTCCAGCCTTTCTTCAGACCCTAACCATTGTCGCAGCGGCCAGAGCTTGGTGCCAGTGTAGTGCAGCAGGAACCTGCTTCTCGCTCCTTCTCTGGGGTCTCTCTGGACAGAGGCAACAGACATCTGGGGGGTATGCTCAGCTCTCAGCGCTGTCCATGAAATAAGAGGAGGAATAACTTCATTAGGCTACTCCTGACCATCAGGAGACAGACACCACAAGACAAATACTTCCCATTGTGTTACTTGGGGGACAGTTGAACAGTTTTGAGGTTTGCATAAGCTTTGACCAAAATCTCTGTGAGGTTGAGTACAGGTTACCAGCATTGGTGGCCAGTTTGAAAGCACGGCCTCCTATTGTCAATTCTGTGTTTCAGTCCTAGAGGTCACCATTCCTGCCAGTTATTATTATTTCCTCCAATGAACTAGCTGTAGACAAGCCTGCAACTCAGACTGTACTTTCAGAAGCTACTAGTATTACCCAATACAAAAACTGCCTAATTGCTTTCCAGGGCATCTGCACCCTGATCTGAATAGTTTGGCCAACCTCCAACTTGTAGAACAGAGACTGGGTAATTTCAAAACTTCAGAGGGACACATTTTAACAAGGCTTTGCCTCTGCTTGGAAGGCATGCAGCTGTAGTTTCCTGTGCAGATCTGACCCGTGGGTCAGGGTCTTTTCTTTTTATGCTTACTTCAGTTATCTTCAAAATATGGTTGCAATATACATGGCATGCTCATTATACACTTCCCCAGAACATTTTCCTCTCCCTCTCATGGATCATGACTTCTGATACATAGACAGTGTACTTTATTGTAGAAGTGTGGAAATATGGTCCTGAAAAGCATTGCTTCTCAGTACCTGTTACTATAAAAACATGACGTGGTTCATCTTTTCCAGTGAAGGATGTTGCATCCCTAAAGTCATCTTAAACTCTAGAATATGCATTTGTTCTATCACACCATCACTTGGGTTTATTAAAGGAGAAAAATGAACATGTGTGAACACTAATACTTTTGTATGCATGTTGCAACTCACTCTGCCTTCCAGGCAGTCTGCTCCAGAGTCAGCCTTTTAGCTACTGCAATTGACCACCTCTTTTGCTCTTTGCATGGTCTTCCTGTAAAAGGAAAGTAACAGATACACATCTTCATGAAACAAAGCACAAATCATGACTACTTGGGATCAGGGAATGAGAGACACTTCCTTTAGGGAGTGACAGTGCTTCTCATTTGGGAACAGCTTTTACAATCTCATCTATCCTCTTGTGTTTTGGTTTTGTAAACAGGTGGTCAATACATACACTCCAGGAAAGAAAATTTGGCTCGAAGGCGTGGTGACCACCTCAGCTGGAGGCACAAACAATCTGTCAGATTCCTATGCTGCAGGATTCTTGTAAGTAATTCACATTTTCACTCCCAGGAACTTTCAGGAAAGACAGTGAAGCTGTACCACACTCACTAGCCACCGCAAGGCAGAGCTGATTTCCAGTGGAGAGCTGAACCTCTGTTCATTTGTGGAGGTGTTTAACCCTTTACCAACAGTAACTAGTCACTTCTCCAGCTCCTAACACTTTGTCGAACCTAAGTGTCAAAGCACAGATGACAGCTTGAGTAAGACCATGGTTCAAATCCCAGAGTCAGCACCATACATTCTCCCTTCTGCATTTTACTGTAGTTCGGGGAGTCAGGTAACAGCAGCATGGTTTTGTCCTCCAGAAACATGACGAGGGGGACTAGTATGAGTGATAACTGCATTGCAAAGAATGATTATGCTGTAGTAGGTCTTTGAAGTATACTGGATCTACCAGGTGCCAAGTACTGTCTGAAATGCTTTCATACTTTGACAACCAATGAGATTGATGTGAAAGAGAAGCTAGTGTTGTCCTCACATTACAACCAACAAAGCTGAAAGGCAGAGCTGAAGTAAGTTAGCCAAGGGAGCTCATTTAGCTAGTGGCAGAGATCAGACTCAAGCTCAGATGGCCTGCTCCAGAGTCCAGCCTTTTCACCACCACAAAAGAACCACTTCTCTGTCTGTCTCCACAGCCTTTCTATGAAAGAGAAGCGGTGGGCTTGCAGGGAATAAAGAGTCTCCCTGAATGGGGTTATCAGGAAGGGTTTCATGGGAAAGGTGGCGGTTGTGTGGCACGTGGAAAGAGTGCTCTGGTTTTCAGAGGTGAGTGGTGGAACTGACAGCCAGCTCCCTCAGGCTGAAGAAACAGCCCTCAGGGCATAGCAGAGGGCCAGTGCCTACTGTGAGGAGAGCCTTGTTTCAGCAGGGGTGGAATGGAGGCTGAGACTATGATGAGGGTTTATACCAGTTCGTGGAGGGTCTTAAAAACCATATAAAGGAAGTGAGGCCTTCTTCTGGGCTATCCCAAGCCCCTGAAGATTTCAAAGAGAGAGATAACCTGCCAAGCATTTTAAAATTTAGACCTTGTCAATGGTATGCATGGGATCTTGGAAGGGATAAGAAAATGAACTCAAAGGCTCCTGTAGTTGCCTGGAGAATGACTTGAGCCAGAAGCATACAGTTCTGCTTGGCTTGCCAGTGTCGTGCCGCCAGGACAAACCCCTCTGAATCAGAGACTAACCAGATGATAGTTTTCCTGGTCCACTGTGGCCCTTTGGCTCTGGCTTTCTGGCTGAGCAAGGCATGGACTGTAGTTTTTCCTCAGCTGTGTTTCACTCCTCACAGCTGTCTCTAATTAGACAGATGCAGTTCCCTTCCATTGAGACAGCTTCTTACACATTGTGAAGAACAGGTCAGGCTGGCCAAGCAGATGGCATTTTCAGATGGAATCTTGTCAAATGTACATGAAGACAACTGCTCAGTGTAATTCATGGTGTTACTCTGGGGCATCCATGTTTGTAACCTCAGTATCTAATGTTGTGTTTCACAGAGATGTCCAATAAACATGGTTGAAATGAATGAAATGGAGTGAATCCGAATTTAATGCAGTACTGCTGAGAGCCTTCTTTCATAATTTACTCCCTGCTAGTTTGATATGAATCCTGTTGCAAGGGGGAAAAGCCAGGTTGGCAGTCGGTACTAAGGGGACCCCTTGGAATCAGCTCAAGAATGGCTTTTTCTCAGCTGTTGCCAAATGATTTTGCTTTGAGGTCCCGCAAGCAGCCCAACTCTACTGAATGTTTTCCTGAACACTCTTCCCTTTAAGGAGAATGGTGTGAAGTAAGAAGTACCACAGACCTTCATGGAGGCAGCTGAAACAGAGACCTCCCTTTGCCTGAGCATCAGCCAGACAGCCATAGAGTTCTCCATGGACTTTGCAGATGAACATAATTGTCGATATTTGGGATGTAGTTCAAATTATCAGTGCTTGGTTGACAGAGATCAGATGAATCTAGTTCACTCTGCTCCTGGTCTTCTGTCTTACTTCCTGTCATCCATACCATCTGAGCTCCACAGGCAGCACATAGCAATGTGCCGTGTTCTTAAAGGGATGTCAGTTGCTTCCTAGACAAATGATATAGCATTCTAAGAAGGTTCAAGCAGCTAGAAAGCATGTGAAAAGGTGGCCTTTTCCCAGGACCTTTTCAGTATATCACCTAACAATGTAATTCCTAGGGCATGTGCAAATGCGTGCATGAATCAGAATTCTCTGCTAATGAGGACTCAAAGATAGTGCAGCCCTGACAGTCTTGAAATTCTTTGCAATACTGCAAATTCGTCTTGATAGGATGCTGTGTCTCCAGCATCTAGCAGCATGCAATAATATATAGTAGGTGCTCAATAAACACCCATGAATAGATACTGAACAAGTTTTGTGTATGTATGGGATCATTGTACATACACAAAACACCAAGAGACTGTCCTGTGTTGCTGTACAGATGGTGCTGATGGAGGGGCTCATGCATATATTCAGATTTTATTTCTTTTTTTTTCTTTTCTGGTTTTTTTTTTTTTTTTTTTTTTTTTTTTTTTTTTTTTTTTTTTTTTTTGGTTTTTCGAGACAGGGTTTCCCTGTGTAGCTTTGTGCCTTTCCTGGAACTCACTCTGTAGACCAGGCTGGCCTCGAACTCACAGAGCTCTGCCTGCCTCTGCCTGCCAAGTGCTGGGATTAAAGGTGTGTGCCACCAGCCCGGTGATTTTATTTCTTCTAGAAAGTGAAACTCTCTATTTGCTTTCCTAGATAAATATTAAATATAGACCATGATGTATTTGTACTTTTGAACATGGCAAGAGCTCTGCTTTAGGAGACGTTCCCCCCAGAGATTGATGATGTTACAGCCCCAGCCCAGGGCTTCCTTTGAGAATCCATCTGCTACTGAGCCTCAGGACCAGAGCAAGAGCTGAGTCTATCATCCTGGCTTCACAGACTTGCCAAACTAATGAAAAGAATAAAGGCAAGTAGCTTTGCCATGGGATGTTCCCAAAGTCCTTCAGCTCTCTGGGTCGCAGTGTCCCAGTGTGACAAAACGAACACGACAAAGCTTCTGCTGTGCTGTACACACAATTTCCTTTACTTCAGACTCTTGGTTTTGTGCTTTGCTTTGCTTTGGGATTTGGTTTTGTAACTCTAATTGTCAGTAAATGTGTTCATTTTTATGAGAATAAAATAAAATTGTAAATGTAAAAAAAGATTTGAAAATGTGAACATTATTTATTCATAATATAAGAATTAGAAATGCTCTTTATTCCAGCAAGGAAAAAACTTAATTCTAGAAGTCATGGGTTTGTAGCCCCATATGGTTTCAGATTTGGGAAATCATAACTATGTGTAATTTTTCCCATGTGCTGAATGGTGATTTCCAAAGTTCCTAAAATCTAATTTTATCCAGATAAATGTCAACCTAAACAGTGCTGTGTACCTACAACATGCCAGGAACTGTGTTGGGTGTTCTGAGCCTAAGTTCAAATGCTGTATGATTGAGGACCTATAACTAATGGGGCATAGTGGAGAGAGGGGAATGCTCACCATCACCATGCTGGTGGAGGGCATAAATAAAAAGAGCTCTGTGAAGGTAGAAAGTGATACTGCTGACTAGGATGCAGAGTTTAGAAAAGAACACTTGCTTTGGAGATTAATATGGTAAGAAATTGACCAAATGGAAAGAAATGAGTTAGAGGAGGTTGGGTAGGAAATGCTAAGGCAAAGTTAAAACTTGTGAAGATAAGGGTCAGTACAAGGAAGCATGCTATAGTGGCTGCTCAAAAGTGGTTTTGTGCAACTTAGGCCTATGGAGAATGAAGTCGGGGGGTAAGAGCAAAGATAAAGTGGTATTTCAGCAGTGGCAATACAGAGAGAGGAAACAGTCAATGCCTAAATTGATGAATGAATTGAATGTGTCAGCAACAAAGGCCGAGTCAGCAGGAAGTTTGGTAAGAACCTAGAAGGCAGGCTTTTTAAAAGAGTAGCATGTTGTGTAAACTAGGTACTTTGCATACTCAGGGATAAGTGCATGGTCAATGCAGGTTTCCTAATGTAACACATATGAGAAGGAGATAACAGAACTTAATCTCTGAATAGTTTTTTGTGGTGTTGAGGAAAAACAGTATTACATTGACGGGACAGTGATATATGAGGGAACCAAATGACAAGGCTGTTTTTGCAGAGGTCATAGTCCTATGTAGGTTAGCATCCTGTGAAAAGTGTGTGCACTGTTATAGAGTGAGGAGGCTGAGGATACAAGGTACACTGTGAAATCCTGGGGTTGCACGTTTGTGGCCAGGGAGGATGCATTAGACTTTTAAGTGGTCACAGTATTCATTTGTTAATATTCTAGAAGTAAAATATGACATAAGCTGTGATAACTTTATGACCATGAACAATTCATTTTATTCCCCCAGACTTCAGTTTCTTTTCCTGTAAAATAAAGAGATTAGATCTGAGAATCTTTGAGATTTCTTACAGCTTCATGTTCAGCACCTAAAATGATTTTCTCTTTTAAAGCAACAAATAAATTTGGTGGTGCTTGTGGGGGGGTGGGAGGAGGTAGAGTTTATTTGTGTGTTTTAGCTAATGTTCTTGTAAAATGCCATTTTAAATGTGCTGATGTGGCTTCTTTTCTTTTGCTTTTTAGATGGTTAAACACTTTAGGAATGCTGGCTAATCAGGGCATTGATGTTGTGATACGACACTCATTTTTTGACCATGGATATAACCATCTGGTGGACCAGAATTTTAACCCATTACCAGTAAGTACCTTGGATAAAGATTCCCAATTCATTTCCATATCATTTGGTTCTTTTAATCATGCCTTTTTCCATACTAGGAGAATGTTTCTCCTTCTGCTATTGGCAATCTCTTTCATAAATCAGACAGAGCATTCTTGTCTTTGATTTCATGAACCATTCCATGGGCTTTGGCTTCACTCCCCCCTACCACACACACCTACACAGACATACACACACATACATATATTTATATGTGTATAATATATCAATTCGTTACTATTACTTTAGCAAACTTTGTGCAATTGAGATTCCACATCTCCTTGTGTCCTGTTTGAACTCTGCTTGAGAGTGGATTTTTCCAGATTGTTTTCTTTTAATGCTAATAGGAGACATTAGTTAACGTCAGATGCAGCATGTTGAAAGCAGATGGGGGTATGCTAAGATCAGATAAAATAGGAGCCCATCTCTTAAGGCTAAAGTGCACTTGGAGTTAGATGTTGACCCCTAAGTGATGATGAAGAGATTTTCCCCAAGGCAGCATTCTGAGTGACCTGCTGCATAATCATCAGAGAAGTCTTAGCCCAGAAAAGCTGTTTTTTGTTTTGTTTTCTTTTCTTTTCAGAAAAATCACACAGATGATTATTTGATGTGGGTCTCATATGGTATCATATCATTACATGGTCCTGATGGAAAGACAGACTCCTCTCCCCATCCCTGTGGTTGCCCTTAGAGATGTTTTATTTGACAAGGTCACTGAGGATGAGACAGGGAAAGGGGAACATAATGGCATCCCTAGACCCAGATCCTGTGCCTTCAATTACTGTTGCCTTAAGGGTCCTGGGAATAAACCCAGCCTGGAACAGTTCCTGCCATTTGCTACCCTTTACCTATTTCTACCCCATTGCTTCTACCTTCCAAACCCCAAGTCAAGAGGCCTTCAAGCCCAGAACAAGAAATTGTATGGCCCACAGGAGTATCACTCCCAAGTCTCAAAATTGAAACCAGTTGGCACAATTGTTTTTATGCACAGAACAAGAATACGACTCAAAGTGTGTATGTGAGACTGAGGTAGGAAGGACGGGGAGAGAGTTTTCTACTCAGAACTATAGAGATTTGTTTTGTTTTCATATATCTGTGTAAATAAGCCAAAACAATTAGAAAACTACATTCATGGCATAAATACTAAACAAACATAGAGCACATCTTCTATTTGGCATAAATATAATTAAACATTTTTGAGTAGCAGGAGTTGGGGAGGATGCAACAATGAATAAATAAATAAATAATAGAATATGATGAGGGTTCCTAGATGTAGGTACAGGAGGGGCTTTTCTGAGCATAGGACATATAAGTGAAGAGACAACTGGCGTTCAAAAGGCAGGTATGCAGATTTCCCACAACTTTCTAAGCAGAGCAGAGGCTAACACAAACATTTCACTACAGGAACTAACTTGGCATGTCTGCAGAAACACAGGACCATGAGTGCCTGAGACATGGAAGGCAGGGAAAGACTGGATAGAAATTAAGTAGGCAGGAGTCAGATTGCTCAGGCAATTGAACTTTAATCACAGTACTAAGAAAAATCACTGGAGAGCTTTAACCAGGAAGACATGACCAGTCTAACATAATGCTTCAGGTCCATTTTCAGCAATGCAGATAATATTTACCAATTCACAGATGCAGGATGCTCTTTGATTTGGTATATCAGCAAAACTCCTCTCCTCCTTTTTTTCCTTCTCTCCTTCCTTCATTCAAATTTCATTCATTCATCTTCATCATGTCCTATTTGCTTATTGATAGTTCCTGGCAGTGGATCTCTGTGGTGAACCAAAATGACAAAGTCCCTGTGCAGTGTGGTGAGAAATGGAAAATAAACATATAAGATAATTGTGGTTTATCACAACTGCTCTAAACAAAACCTACTGAGGTAAATATGACTTTATTAATTTTCCTGAAAAAATAATAAAAAGCTGAAGTTCTAGGAATAAGTGAATGTCTAAGGTCAGAGAAGTCACAGTAGCTGGGTCTCCCTGGGTTTTCTAGCTCTAAATCCTATTTTCTGTTTACTGTGCCACATTATTTCCCATGATGCTGACTTAGGTGTCCTTGTCATGGCCTGAGGCAAATTCTGCCTTTTACTTGAGTCTGGAGAGAAAGATGGGTGTTAGAAGGCTAGACAGGCCTCATTTCCAGGGTTGGACCACCTGAGTATCTGATCACATTGCTGTGTGACTGCCCAGGACCATGGCCATGTATACAATAAAGACACAAACCTTTATTCTCCACAAATAAGAGTAACTGCCGGTTCAAAAAAAGCATTGCATAGTAGTCCTCAGTTCATACCTAGTGGCCCCAGAATTCGCATAAGCCTTTAAGATGCTAAAACAAGTTCCATGGATGCAGCCAAAGCCCCGAGTGAGCTGGGCAGCTGCGTTTCTGGAAACATCAAGCTCTAATAAAGAAATCATCCGTAAAAGCACTTAAAAAGGTAGCCAGCTTTCCTTTTTATCTTTCCTTGTGGTAAAAATTCTGCACCTTATAAGTAGGAAACTTGGCAGCTGGGAGAGTGTGTCCTAAGTCTCCCCTGGAAAGAATTTACAAGGCCAGACCAGGGCGTGATCTGAGAGACACTGCTGGCTGGTCTCTAAGATGGGTGATGGAGCTAGACCTGAGGATCATATTGGTTGCCATGTCAGAGAGCTGTGGAATTGATAACTAACATTGCCAATAAAAGCTTGTGGATTTTACATTGTGGTTACATCTCCAGAAGAGTTTGTTAAGAGATTAGAGGATTAGTGAACTGCACTTTACTTTGTCTCCCAGAAAAATAAGTATTTTCTCTTCCCATTCCTTCAAACCCAGCTTAGTATATTTCAGGAAGGAATCCTATTAGCAAATTCTTTTCCGTTTCTGCTGGTGCTCTTGAGTAAATCCAGAAACTGTGAGAGCTGTGCCTCGGGGCTCCTCAGGCCCTGTCCCATACCACCCCTCCCCTTCCTAGTTAGCTTTGCTGCATTCCAGCTCAGCTCTGGCAGGGCCATTCCTAAAGCACCAGTCAAAGGTAAGAGACAATATTGAGACAAGACGACACTTTAAAAGTGGTTTCTAGGAGCTAGGGTGAGGGAAAAATGGTACAGAAGATTTTTAGGGTGGAAATGGTTCTGGATGATACTAAATGGTGGGTACTTTATATGTTGATCCCAAACCACAGGATGGACACCATAGTTAAATCCTACTGCAGAATGTGGGCTTTCTGTGTCACTGATGGAAGCACCGCTCTGATGAAAGACACTGATAATGGAGGAGACAGAGCACGTGTGAGGACAGGAGGCATGGGGGCTGCTCTGTGCCATCCAATCAGTTTTCCTCTGGACCTGAAGACTTCTCTTTTACAAAAGAATTCTAAGAAGTAGGATGAGACAGATGAAGAAGGGAGAAGGAGAAGGGAGAGAATGAGAATGGGTTCTACATCCCCCTGTTCTGCTCAGGAAATAACTTTTCAGCTACATTCCTTGTTTCCTCATGGTTTTTCTGCTAGAAAAGTGGCACCCTCCTCCTGAGAAAAGGAGCACATTTTAGTTCAGCCATGCATTGTCATTCACGCCCGCCCTTCCCGATGGTTCTGTCACTGGGAAAGAGGGGACATGTGAGTCTCCACAGCTAGGCAATCAGTCGTGGACTCCCTTGGGAGTAGACGATGTTTGTGCAGAAGAGATCTGCACATTCAGTGGACAGAGTCCAGACCCCACCAACCCTGGGCACTTCTCCTAGGAGAGGGGTTTGGAATTCAGCTTGTCGCTTTTTTTTTTTTTTTTCCAGATTGTGATTTACAAAGCCTTCAGGAAAAGGAATGGGGACTTAGCAATCTGCGTCCTCCTAACTCCCACGCTAGGGCAGAGGGCAGCAAAAAGAGTCTTCACACAGATGTAATTTAAAAAAAAAAAAAAAAAAAAACCAACAAAAAAAACCCACTGAGCTCTGAGCTCACCATTGTGTGGATATACAGATAAGACATGGTCCTCCATCTGCAGAGCCAATAACCCACTGTGTGTTTGTAAGATTACAGGTCAGTCCTGATTAGGACTACTACAAAGAGCTAGATCATGCTGTCTTAACATGTCTACGCTGGGCATAGGGGTGTAGCTGTGGGCTGTCGGCACTCATTTTTGCTTACTGTTCTTGATGAGTAACAACAAATATTCAACATCCCTGTGCATATCCATTGAACACTCTCTATGTACATTGTTCTGGATACAATCATCAATCATGGATTAGAGCACAACTCAGTACTCTATAGTGAAATTAAACCTATGGTTGCAGTTACTATAGCAACATACTCTGAGCCAAGCCATTGCTGTTCAGCTCTTATTTAGCTTTTGGAAAGAAGCTCTGCTTTTTATTATTCCCAGTTTGGCTTACTTGGTTAGCCTATCTATCACAAAATTGTAGGACAAGTTGTTAAATAATCCTGTCTTTTTTCCCGTTCCTCTAAGGGGACCATCCCCTTAGAGAAGGTACCCCTTATACATAGCATAGCTGAGATATGCAAACAGGATCAACTTAATGCACCCTTTTTCTGGAGGAACACCAAATTACAAACCCATTTATCCCAGTGTAGCTGGATTGACTGAGACTTGAACCATCCAAACAAGAGGTATCACAAGGAGCAACAGAGCCTAGAACTGTGACAAAATTTGTGGTTCCTAGCTCTACCATCAATTATGTATGTGTGTTTGGGTTCTGGTTTCCCATTGATTGAGCTGAATTGAAGATAAAACTGCCTCCCCCTTATACTTCCAAATTCATTGTCAGTATACTTGAAAAAATAATTTAAAGCATAAGATTTTGATTTTGTATTTACATATAAGTAAAGAAAATTATTAGATAGGACTGTATCTCAGGGCAAGAAAATTACAGGCACTTTTTTTCTTCTTTGTAAACCTTTTGTTTGTAAAGTTGCTGCACTCAATAATATTTTTTAATCTGAAAAAGGATATCTTTATTTTAAAAGGCTATGATGA